GAGGATCCATCCACCACCCCACTCCTGGGACTAATTAACACCTGGATTTTTAACTAGTGTTCAGCCTTCCGCCGGGGCAGTTTGTCATTTAATTTCAGCTACTCGTTAAGTAAAACAGTCATGCTAAGAAACACTCCTTCAGTTTAAACATGTAAAATTCACTTTGTCTTAAGGATGGTCGTCATTGAGGTTTACTTTTAATTAAATATTAAACAAAAATGTATGCTTATTGCTGTATAGACAAAAATACCAAAAAGATTTGCTTCAAAGAGCCAGTAATGGCTATAGGTTATAACATAAGGGCCATATTTCTTTTTTCTTTTTTTCCCCCATCTTTTAATTTTTGTGCAAGGAAGCTGTGCTAGTTTTTGTAGTTAAACCATCACTATTATTTTTAAAAGCCAAGAGAGCCTTTTGTACTTCACATAAAACTGCAGATACTTGAGCCAGGCGTGTGGCTCAGCCTGTAATCCCAGCACTCGGGAGGCTGAGGTGGGAGGATCATTGAGAGTTCGAGACCAGCCTGGGCTACAAAGTGAGCTCAAGGCCAGCCTGAACTGCAAAGCGAGACCCTGTCTCAAAAAAGACAAGAAAAAAAAAAAAAAACCTGCAGATACTTGTGCAAATCACAGAAAGTAGGAGAACTCAGAATTTAGCAAGCACTGAGAGTTTAGTAGTGCTGTAAAATTATTGATTTTACTAATTGTGTTTGAACACTGAAATGCACATTTCACTAGTTTCTCCCTCTATTTCCAGGTTATGAAGTTTGTTTTTGAAATGTGGTAGGCAGGAATTTTTCTACAGTGAATTTCAGAGGCATCGGCTTGCACGAAGAAATGCTTTTAACTTCAGCTTCTTCAATCTAGTATTATTCATACAGCCGAGCATTTATTAACATATAGAAAACAAAACAAGAGCCTGCAAAGTTTATTTCTTGTAAGAGTCAACAGGATTAGCCCATCAGAATTGTGTGAAGCGATAAATATTCCTACTGTTTTAATTTTGAATATAGATCAACTCGTACGGATGGGAACTATTGTTAATTTTAATAAAATTAACTTTATATTGTTATTTCACTGCTTCTAATACCTTTTGCCGTCCCCCGGGGATGCTCCTGTCTGATGTTATCAGGTGTTGCATTTACCATTCGGTTGGGAGAGCAGCTTCCAACTCCATCCATAGCCTGCAGCCACGCTTCCCACATTCTATTACAGGTAGCACAATTGCGCCCCGCTGGACACGTTTACAGACTTTTATTCTCTATGTATAATTTTCCTAAAGTCACGGTTTTGTGTCATTTCCCAGTATTCCTGTCGCTAGCCTTTAAGTAGACGCGGTCATAATAGGGAGGCGGCTAAGGCACCTGCTGGCTAGCTCAAGAACCAAAAGAGTTCAGTTTATTTTCAGTCTTGTAAGCAGCCACAGTTTTGGTGCAGTCTTTGTGGTTTCTGCTATCTTATAGCTTGATAAACCCGTGGAAATAGAACTTTTTATAGAGAGTTATTGCTATTTAAAAATCAGAGGAAATTATCAATGATTTCCATAACTCACTCTGTGTCAGACAGGTCACTTAATCAGAATATGTCTCCCGAAAACGTTACCACGTCCTAAGCTCCCCCAGAAATTTATAGGAATCTGACAGACTAACAAATAGTCTGTAAAGGAATTGAGTATTTGTCAAATTAAATACCACTATTACTAAATACACCGTAACTAACGGTACACCAAGTTCCTCCTCAGTTGGTCCATTTTTTTTACTTTTTGAAAACAGGAGTTTATATTTGAGTTTCATGTGCTATAAATGACCCTATTAATGTGCTTTGATCCTGCTGCCTTCACAGGTGTCAGAATACACAAGCACGTTTACTTAGTTGTCAAGTATTTATTGTGGACAACTCATAACATGCATTCAAAAATAGACTTCTCTTTGTCACTTGACTTTGCATAGATAGATGGAGACAGACAGACAGACGGATGATAGATAACAGATGGAAGAGATAATCCATGGGGTAGGTAAGAATGGCTGGTCTCCTAGCAAAGACCTTGTATGTAACTAGCCGGTATGGGATTAATAAGCTAAGGAGCCCTGTAATCTGAGTAGCGTTTAACTAACTGGTAATAAACAGACTAATCAGTGTAACTGTTTCAGTAGCTCATAGAAAGTAAATAAAAATGAATACTGTTTCTATAAAAGTATGCTGTATTTTTGTTTCTATAAAAGTACTGGGATTTTTGTTTTTAAGTAAATGCACTGGTTTTTTTTTCTTTCTTTCTTTCTTTCGTACCAAAAATTTCTGAGGCTGAGACGAACTATGTCTCTTAATTCCACGGTGTCCCTTATTTCACGTTGCTAGCAACCATACGTGGCTTCACCTTGAAGTTTAGTTTTTCTTGTATCCTCTTTGCTGAAATCTTACAACAACATGAAATAGTCTCCCCTTTGGTTCTTCTCTGCAAATGTAACCACCCTGCCATTCTCCTAAAGTACAGGTTGCTGATTAGATATATTTTTCATTTTCTGTTGTTGGTATGTTTCTTGGAGGTTTCTGGGATGTTACTGCAAACATGAAAGAACAGAGTGCGTCACCACTGTGATTTAGCTGTGGCACTGGGCTGACTCACCAAATGACATCGGCAAAGTCATTAAAATTATGTAGGTGGTAAAGTGGGAGCAGTAGCCAGGTGTGGGGGTGCCCACCTGTGATCCCAGCACTCAGGAGGCTGAGGCAGGAGGATCGCCAGGAGTTTGAGGCCAGCTTGATCTATGGACTACCACTCTGTCTCGAAAACAACAAAACAAAGCAAATGGGGAGGAATTACAGAAAAAGAGGGGAGTGGCCACTAAGAAAATTTGAAGCCTGGGAGGACTTGACTTTGAGGAGGAAATCGTGTGTGTGTGTGTGTGTGTGTGTGTGTGTGTGTGCGCACACGTGTGTGAGAGCGTGTGTTGAGTGTGTACACAGCTGAGATTTGCTCATCCCTTCCTAGTTGCTCCTTTGCCTCCTGCTGAATCCACAGACGCCCTCCTCGCTCTTCTGCAAGGAGCTGCCCTGCAAAGAGCTGTCTTCCCCCGGTGACCTGGGCAATGCTGCAGAGAAATTTCTCATAAAACTTTAGCAGAACGTGAAAGAGCCTGGGGGTAGAGATACGAAGTTTGCTTTAACCCGGAGGCACTTAATGCCTGCTAGCACATTTCCAATTTTAGAGGAGAATTTGTTTGGAAGGACTTTATTAAGTCTCTGAAGCAGGGCCTGTGAATCTCATTTATAAATATCTTACCTGCCTTGGGCAGATGATTACGTTTGGCTGGTAACAATTTCCAAGTAGCTCATACGACAACATAAACATGAATATGTGGGGGTATTTTTTTTCTTTACGTAATACATACACGATTAGGGATGTTTTCTTTTGCAGAAGGTTTTTATGGCATATTGCTTTTGAAAGGAAATTTGAAATTAAGTCTGAGGGGCTGCATGAAGAAACCGGCCTGGAGCAGGTGGGTTAGGTGTACTCACCAAGGTGGAAATGGGTCCTTTGTACCCGCACGATGCCTCTCAGTGAAGCCGGGGTGGACGCCGGCCTGTCCATGTTTGCGTCCCCCTGCATGGCTCAGGCAGCTTCTCTCCTATGATCTAACAGAATCCCACCCTCGGAAACACCTAAAGTCGAGGGGAAGTGAGGGACGCTTCCTTTGCCTCCTGGATTCTTCATTTATGCCGTCCCCCCTCACTAACCATTTGAGGTCAGCTCCTTTGATTGTTTTATGACTTACCCAAGCTGAGTCGCTGCTATCAAAACTCAAAAACAAAACAATAAATAAGTAAAGTCACACACTTTTACTGAGACCTCTGAGGGCTCACCCCGGGGCTGGCTGCCCCCCACAACCCTGGGAGGATATGCAGAGCCGGCAGAGAACGCGCCAGCAGCGGGAAGGGGCCTGGACTCCCGGGAGAGCGCTCCCGTCCGAGCATCTCAGGCCCCTCTGATCTGGTGACCCGATCGAAACTGAGCCACTCCATAGGGGAATTTTGTGTCCTCGTCAACACGCTTTCCATCCTCCTGTGATGGTTGGAGCCTGAGCCTCTGGCATCCTGGGAAAGCCAGGTCTTCCCTGACTATCATGATGGAAGTCTGCTTTTCTTTAAGATTTTTCAGCTCCCTGGAGCTGTCAAAGTAGACACTGCCAGACATGGTGGTGCACTTCTCAGCACTCAGGAGGCAGAGGCAGGACCTTGTGAGAGAGCTTAGAGAGACCTTGTTTCAAAGGCAAAAAGGGCTAGAGATGTGGGGATGTAACGCAGTGCAGGGCTCTGGGTTCAGCCCCCAGTACTGCACAGGGGACCCCTAGTCTCGGTGACTTTTTCCCCACCCTGAGGAATGGGAGGGGCAGCTGGTCGCCCCACAACTCACTTGGGAGAGAAGTCATGCAGCGCCCCCGGATGATCCAGGCCCAGAAGAACAGAGTGAAATGCAGCCAGTCCGCTGCCACTGGGCCTCCTCCTGCGGGCCCAGCCTGACTGTTGTGGGTGGCCCAGGGTCTTCAAGGACCTGGGCTCCAGCAGGACCCCAGGGGCCGCAAACCTGCTCGGGGTCTGGGTCAGGTGTCCCCCGGGTCTTCACCGCTGCTCGCTGCCTCTGTGCCTTCTCTGAGCAGGGTGCGTTCTGTCCACACAGAGCTGGGAACTCTCTTCGTTTCCGTGGCTTGCAGCCGCCTGAGCTGTCAATGGTTTCCACTCCCGACAGCCTCGGCCGTGACCTCGATTTCTTGTCTCCATCCTTGTGTTTCCAAGAGACGCAGACAAGAGAGAGACCTAATGCCACTTGCATAAGGGACCCTTAAGGAGGTGAAAAGCATACATTTTCCAAATGGCAGCGCCTCTGAGAGCAGACCTGCACATTCCCGGCTTCCCACCCTCTGCATTCTCACGCTGGTGTGCAAAGACTCAAGCCCTGTCGATGTCCGCTCCCGGCCGGCAGGAAGGACACACGACAAAGTCTGGTAGTGGACAACCTTTTCTTTTTATTTTCCTTCTCCGTACAGCCTGCCCTGGGTTCTCCCAGCTGAAGCCTCCTCTGGTCCGCTCCCCGCGGCTCCTTTTGTGCTTCAGTCTGCCCCAAAGCCTCTACCGGTCCGCTCTCCGCGGCTCCTTTTGGGCTTTTACTTCTGGGCTTCTACCTGGCTTCTCCTTCCGCCCAGGGGTGGCACCGGTATATATACGGGTACAGTGTCCAATCATGTTAAAGTAAGCAAGGCAAGCTGATTGGCTAACATCATCAGTTGCCAGGCAGACTATATTGTTGAGCGGGTTGTTTACGCGGTAAGCAGGAAACTAACATATTCGATGGGAGGGGTAATCTACCTCAGGCTTTGCTCTTTACCACAGGCCGCACGTCCGCCGCGCAAGGCGAGCTATCACAGACGCGGCTCCCAACATCTCCCCCTATTTTATTTTTTATGAATGTGCGCATCGTAGCCCTTCCTGGACTGGGTGCAGAGGCTTATGCCCTATGTGTAGGCCCACCGTAGGTCCTTGGCTTAGACCCTGGTTGGCCATGCCATGGTCTGCCAAGGCCCTGAGGCCCTCGTCCTTTTTCTAGGGCCAGGCACAAACTGGACGGAACCTGGATGCACACAAGCTTGCACTCATTTCCTCTCCGTAAAGAAATCCCCTCGGAGAGAAATTTAGACCTGGGCAGCATCTAACAGTCCAGCGGCTTACGTGCAGGATGGGGTAGGGCCTGGCTTAGGTCGAGTCGTGCTGGGGAGGCACGCTCTTACCCGTCATTGACTCACCTACCCTGCTGTGTATTGTCACCTTATGGAGGAGAATGAGGGATGCCCGCCATATCTAGACTCGGTCGTGGGCCAATTGAGCAAGCCATGCATATGCCTGAGGATCTTCTTGTCCATTTCGGGCTACCGCTATTTCTATTCATCTTATTGGTTGGTCTGTGATGGATCTCCAGTAGGGCAGGTCTGATCTTCAGTCGAGGGCTTTGTTGCCCGTGTCAGTCTCTCCGGTATCCACAGTGGTTCTCGTCCCGGTTCCTGTGGGAAAACACAAACCGCGCCTCGGTTCCAGCTGACCACTGGATCCGGGCCCATCCATTGTCCTGTCAGGACATCTTTCCACTTCACCCACCCTTTATGGTTGGGGGAAGGGTTGCAGTGCTCCACAGCTGGGGAGCGATTATCATTATTTAAATTTAAAAAATTGTGTGTGAATAGTGCCATGGATAATCGTGCCTTTGGGGCCAGGCCTTGGCCTACTCCCCCTTTTTGTTTTTGTAAAATTTCTTTGAGGCTTCTATGAGCCCTCTCAATGATTCCTTGACCTTGGGGATTGTATGGGATACCATGTTTTAATTGAACCTCCATCATTTTGCAGAACTCATTGAAGGCTTTGCCTATATAGGCTGGTCCATTATCAGTTTTTAATATTTTTGGTTTGCCCCATGCGGCCCAAGCTGCCAGGCAATGATTGATCACATTAGACACTTTTTCACCTGTTTCTGCTGTTGCGAATATGACGTGAGAACAGGTGTCTGTGGAAACATGAACATATTTAAGAGTCCCAAACTCCTGTATATGTGTGATGTCCATCTGCCAAACATCACCAGGGATCAAACCTCGAGGGTTTACTCCCATCGGTATGGCAGGTTTGTATGTGGCACAGGAGTCACATAGTCGCACGATATCTCGTGCATCTGCTCTAGAAACATGGAAATGGTTTGCTAGTGTCCTGGCATTAACATGAAACTTATCATGGAAGGCACGGGCTCGCTCGATTGGTGTTAGTAAGGTAAAAATCCATAACGGGCGAGTGGCAGTGTCAGCAGCCGCATTCCCCTGTGCCATGGGCCCCGGCAGGGATGTATGTGCTCTTATGTGGGTGGTGAAGACCTTATGGTGTCTGTTCTGAAGCAATGTCTGGATAGACAGGAACAGTCCAGCCACTGTGGAAGTGGATCTAATTAAACTGGCAGTCTCAAGCACTTGCATAGCATTGACCACATACCTAGAATCGGAGACAATGTTAATGGCTTCTGAGAACCGTTCAAGAATCATTTTAACGATCTGCAGTTCTACCACCTGAGGCTGATCTGGTTTAAATTGTATGGTAACCGGGGGCTTGCCTAGGATCACATAGGCGCCTATCCCCGTCTTGGAGCCATCTGTGTATATTGTAGTTGCTAGGACTAATGGCTCAGAGGCAGTAACCTTTGGAAAAATTATAGGGTGCTGAGTGACAAATGACAAGATAGGGTCTTTAGGGTATTGATTGTTTATATCCCCATGGAAAACACATCTCAGAATGGCCCAGGTATCTATGCAGGCAGCCAGGGTCTTGATCTGGCTGGCGGTATAGGGTACTCGGATGGCTTGTGGTCCTGAGCCAAAATGTTGGACAGCTCTATCATGCGCTTCAAGGGCCAATGAAGCGACTGCCTCCGGGTAATGCTCTATGACTTTTGTAGGTGAGACCTTAGGGTGTATCCACAGTAGTGGTCCTTTCTGCCAAATCACCGCTGTAGGCTGTAGACTAGTCTGTAGCAAACAGACATCAAAGGGTCGCCCTGGTTCAATTCTGTGTAAGGTAGCCCCACCTAAGGCTTTTTCCACTCTCTGTAAGGCAGCTCTTGCCTCAGGAGTGAGCCTCCTGTGGGAGGCTATATCTGGGTCTCCCTTCAGAAGGTCGAACAGGGGTTTGAGATCTGAATTTGGTATATGTAAATATGGCCTAATCCAATTAATGTCTCCCAATAGCTTTTGCATGTCATTTAGGGTCCTAACGCCATCCGTCCTAATGGTGACCTTCTGTATAAGTCTGGAGGCGACACTGAGGTCCACACCTGCTGACCCAGGGGTGGCCCTTGTTGAAGGCTGCCACCCTGAGCTGTCCTGTCTCTGGGGCGGGGGCCCGGCTGTGAAGGGGGCCCCCTCTGGCCGTTTTTTGGCTCTCTAGCATCTTGTCCACAAATACGGTTGCCCTGAGCATCAAAGACCGACCTACACTCCTCAGCTTTGTGTGATCCCTTTTTGCATCGCCCACAAACATATGGTTCTTCATTCCTAGGGCGAGGCCTAGCATCTGCATTGTTTGGGCAATGACGTTTAATGTGTCCTGGCTCCCCGCAGGCAAAACACCCTTTAGCCTTACATTCCCCTTCTAACCCGCGAGGTCCCCTCTGCTGTACAGCCGCGGCCAGGAGAGCAGCCACTCCCGAGTTGGAGAGCGGCCCCCCTATCTCTCTGCATATCCTAATCCAGGCGTTGAGGTCCTTGTTCTTATGAGGAGCTATCGCTGCCTTGCACTCCTTTGTACATTGCTCAAAAATCAGCTGTCTTACCAGCGGTTGAGCCACTCCCGGATCAGAAAATATCTTATCGGCAGCATCTTGCATTCGGGCCACAAAGTCAACAAATGGCTCTGTGGTACCCTGAATTATTTTTGAAAGACACAAGGAGGCTGTTCCGGCACCACTTACCTGTTTCCAGGCGCGGAGCCCTATGGCATTGATTTGTTCATAGACAGCGCCGGGGAACTGGGTCTGGTCATCAGCGTGCCGACCTTCTCCCATAAGCATTTCCTTGTTCCACCCCCGGTTTCCCCGATTGGCGTTTCTCTCAGCCTGCTCTGCAGAGAACTCTGCGTACCAGGCTCGCCAATCCAGGTAACTGCCCGAGGGCAGACACGCCTTTGCCAGCTGAATCCAGTCCGCGGGGGTGAGGGGCCCAGAAGACAGATTCTCCAGCATGGCAATGATGTAAGGCGCAGTCGGCCCAAAGGTTGTAACTGCATTTTTAAGTTCTCTAATCTGCTTTATCTCAAAAGGCTCCCATACATTGCGTCCCTGGCCCATAGCTACTTGTACAGGAAATATCCCGTAGGGGCCACTATCTATCCCAGGTGGATGTACCTCATGAGACAAGCGTCCCCCCTGCCAAAGCCGCCTGTAAAAATACCGACCCGCCGGCGGCGGAGCATAAGACAGCGGCCGTGATTGGGCGGAAAATGGGGGCCCGTGCATCACTTCCTGTTCTGGCGAAAGGGGAGAGAGCTCCCAGGCGGCCGCCTCGTGGCGAGGAATCGCCTCCGGAAACGGCCCCCAAGGTGGGGCGGAAGGCTTCGCCTCCCTCTCGCGCCGGGGAGCGCTCAGGAGCTCTCTACTCCTCCGCAGACCAGGTTGAGCAGAGCGCAATTCGCGGGGCAACGCTGGAAAAGAACCCTGCGACCCCTTATTGAGCGACTTAGGCTCCTGACAGCTGGTCTCTTTGGCCTCCTTGCCATTCAACTTTCCCTCGTCCTCGGAGTCAGACGACTCCGAGGCTAGAGCCCCGTCCTCCTCCTTAGCATCCTTGTTCCCCTTGACGGACCCCTCTCGGGAGCTCCCTGACTGGGCCTGCTCAGATACCCTGCGTACTTTTGTAAGCTCTTGAGAGCTTTCTCCACAACCACCCTCGCTCTTAATGTTGCTACCTAACATGTTTCCCATCTTTTAATATGTTACTCACCGCGTGAGGCCCAAGGAATCCGCCACTTACGCGTGAGCCTGAGGGGAGTCTAAAAGCCCTGTAGGTGCGCGCCACCCAGAGCCCAGGCTTATCCCCAACTCACCTGTCTCGCAGCTCTGTACTGGAGCGTTGTCCACTTCCACGTCTCGGGGGTGATCAGTCCCCGGGCGGGCCTCCAAATGTCGATGTCCGCTCCCGGCCGGCAGGAAGGACACACGACAAAGTCTGGTAGTGGACAACCTTTTCTTTTTATTTTCCTTCTCCGTACAGCCTGCCCTGGGTTCTCCCAGCTGAAGCCTCCTCTGGTCCGCTCCCCGCGGCTCCTTTTGTGCTTCAGTCTGCCCCAAAGCCTCTACCGGTCCGCTCTCCGCGGCTCCTTTTGGGCTTTTACTTCTGGGCTTCTACCTGGCTTCTCCTTCCGCCCAGGGGTGGCACCGGTATATATACGGGTACAGTGTCCAATCATGTTAAAGTAAGCAAGGCAAGCTGATTGGCTAACATCATCAGTTGCCAGGCAGACTATATTGTTGAGCGGGTTGTTTACGCGGTAAGCAGGAAACTAACATATTCGATGGGAGGGGTAATCTACCTCAGGCTTTGCTCTTTACCACAGGCCGCACGTCCGCCGCACAAGGCGAGCTATCACAGACGCGGCTCCCAACAAAGCCCATGTTCTGTAACTTTTCAGTTCTAGGTTGTACATTCTTCTATTTAGCTGTTGTTCTTTAGGTTTTCTTTATAGCCACAGTGCTAAAAATAAGCGCGTAAAATGCATTAATTTTTCTGGTGTTGTGGGTTAAATCAAATGCTTGTGCAGACTGGGCAAATCCTCTGTCAGAAGCTCCACTCCCAGCCCCGATGAGAATTTTTTTTAATGTCCGTAAACTAGTAATTATTAATATTAAACCTGTCTTTGGAGTTTTTTTCCAGCTAATGTGAGTGGGGGTCCCACCCACTGACAGCTGTCTGCTTGTTATTTTCATGATAATTTTATGTGTTCCCAACTGGCATAAACGACACCACATCAACACGGAGAATACGAGCAGTTGGAGGGGACAGAGTAGACAGTGACACAGCGGTCACAGTGTCAAGTCCTTGTTTCCTAAGCCCCCTCTCTCTTTCTCGTGTGTGTGTGTGTGTGTGTGTGTGTGTGTGTGTGTGTGTGTTGAGATAGGATCTCACTGTGCAGTTCAGCCTGGCCTTGAACTCACTCTGTAGCCCAGGCTGGTCTTGAACTCACAGAGATCCTTCTGCCTCAGCCTCCTGAGTACTGGGCTTATAGGCAGCCCTCTCTTTAAAGCCTAAAATTGAAGATTTCTGAACAAGTAAATTCCTTCATCAGTTTGGAAATGCAAAAGTCTTTCTCCAGGCACATGGAGGAAGGAAATCATGATCAGGACATTCCATTTGGTGGGAGCTGCAGGTACCCGCATGTGGTGCGGTGTCTTACCGGTTTTATGCTCTCATAAAAGACTGGATCCTGGGGGACTTCGTTTATCGACATCCTTCAGAGGCCAAAGCTGGAGACAGAAAAGTAGATCAGTGGCTGCTGGAGCCAGCACTGGGACGAGTAGTTTGGCTGTAAAGAGTCACAAAGCGACTTGGGGAGTGGCCGAGATATGCGGTAGCGGTTGTACAACTATCACAAGTGTATTCTTTTCAGAATTAACAAACCGATCATGTGAAAAGAACTGTAATGGCCGGGCATGGTGGCGCATGCCTGTAATCCCAGCACCCGGGAGACTGAGGCAGGAGGGTTTCAAAAAAAAAAAAAAAGCTGTATTTGGTACTAAATTATATCTCAATAAACTATTCAAAGCCAAAACTTGCCCCATCCTTTTCCAGGACACTGTTGATTGAGCAGACTGTCTTGCTCTGGGTCTGTCTTTTAAGAAACAAAAGGGTGAGAGAATGGGGGGTCCTCTCTGTTGGCTGAGAACTGGTATGGGAACGGGACCCAAGGAGACAGAGGCAGGGAAGGGCACCCTGGCTTATAGCAGCGGTGACCCCAGAGCAGAGTGCCTACAGGAATGGAGAGACATGTGAGCCTCTGGGCAGGAGAACCCGACGGCATCATGGCCTCTGATGAACCTGTTACACACTCACCGCACTGAGCGACTTCAGTTTCTCGGCAATGGAATTCTCACATAATTAAGCTTTTAGGGAAAAAAAATTTCTTTTTTTTTTTTTTTTTGCCATGAAAAATTCTGACAAATTGTCTTCATGTATCACTGGGACCCAGGTCCCCATCCCCCATAATGAACTCTCTCGTGTAAAATTTCCGGTAGATTTTTAACATGCGCGTGCGTCACTCCGCATTGATCTGATCGGAGCTGTTAGTGTCCCGGGGATCAATGGTCAGCAAACTGAGAAGTCACTTAGCCACCGTGACGGCCCTGCGGCGCGAGGATCTATGGTGTCAGGAATCCGTGTTTTATTAACTCTGTAATTACCTGTTCAGCTGAACCGGGGAATTTTATGACACATTTTCTGTAACCTGAACAAGACCTTTGCACTCCCAGCCGTGCCCTGAAGATCCCCCATTTTCCTGCCCCTCGTCCTTCCCCAGCGCCCTGTGGCTTCCCGGCTATCTGTCAGGGCAGCTGGTGGGGACAGAGCTCGAAGAAGAAGCCAGCCCTGGATGACTTTGGTCTCGCCCTGCTGGAAGGCGTCTTACCCTCCCACACATTTTGGCTCCAGGAAAAATAAAATCTGGGGTGTCTCTGCTGTGTGCTGGGGCTTCCCTCACCCGGAGGACTCCGCAGCCCTGTGAGGCCCGGAAGCTTCAGCGTGGGCCCAGGGACCATGGTGTGGACCCTAGGGGACCATGGGCAGGTCCTCTGAGCTCTCTCCGGCCTGGTTTCCTTGTGTCGAGGAACTGTGTCTCCCTGGCAGGGCTTGGCTGACTCTCATGAAGCCTACTGGCTATTTCTAAATTGTCTTTTCTTTTCTCTCAAAGCCTCTCTGGTCAGGTATGGTGGCTCACACCTGTAATCCCAGCACTCAGGAGGCTGAGGCAGGAGGATCGTTGCAAGTTTGAGACCAGCCTGGGCTTCAGTGAGCTCAAGGCCAGCTGAACTGCATAGCAAGACCCTGTCTCAAAAAGACCGAAAAGAAATCTCATTTTCTCGAAATGCAACTTTCACACTCAGCTTGAGCTGACTAACTCCTGAGTAAGTTTAACTAAATAATGTCTTTTTTTTTTTTTTTTAAAGAAACCTAGTCTTCAGGTTCTATTTTATTTTCGTTGCTTTTGCAAGATCAAAAATATTCTGGAAATTTTAAAAATATGTCATGGAATGGAGAGAATTTAAATGATGTAAACAAACAAAACAAAATTCTTCAAAGAGAAACTTAAATTGCTTCCTAGGCCTGCAGTGTTTACTCGTCACATTATCTGTAGATATCCCATAAATTACTTTTTTACTGATTCAAAACCCACAGAGCCAGTTTCCACTGTTACGGCTGAGATTCTACAGCCACAGTCTGCCACACAAAGCTCTTCTTCCCTACGATATTTTTCAGTCTTCTCATTTTCAGTTCTTGGCAGACACAGAGAAGCCTGGGCCTGGCTCGGCTGTGCTCTGAAGGAAAGTTGCATCGCTCGTGGGATCTTTGCGAGGACCGAGGACACCTCGGGCGGGAAGAGCGGCGGGACCTTCCCTCTGCCTTGCCAGCCACCCCACCGGCTCGGCTCAGGTGAGGCCGACCTGGAACCTGGGAGCCGTCATCTGAGATGCTTCGGAAGGCACCACGGATGGGCAAGGAAAATGTAAGCCGTCATTTAAGAGACCTCATCTGACAGCGGCGTCACCTCTGCGGCTTCCTGATCCTAACAGGGATGCTGAAGAGATACAGATGAATAGGAAGCCGCCCCTGCCTTCAAAGAACTCATAATCTGGGGGGAGACAGTGCACGGCTGTGTTCATCCAGATGGACCAGTGCTTCCAGCAAAGCCTGAGTAGAGGGGGAAGAAACAGAGATGATTCACTGCGCACAGGCAGTCGGGGAGGACTTCACAGAGGAGGTGACGCCTGGCTCAGTGTTGAAAGATGAGTGAGATTTGACCAAATAACGGGAAAGCAGGGAGAAGCTAGCAACAGAAAATAGCAGGAAACAGGTAAAAGTCTGAAAATGCTTGGCAGGAGGGCGGCCGGAGGTGGGGCAGGAGCAGCTGGGAACCCCAGAGATGCTTCTCTGTCCTGATGGCTCCGTCACCTGCTGCTGGTCAGACTTAGCCTTTATTTTGTAAGACAGAGAATCAGGCAACCTCAGTACGTGGGAGGCTGAGGCCGGAGGATTGCTGCAAGTTCAAGGCCAGCCTGGGCCACATAGTGAGACCCCGTTTCCAAAATATGAGGGAAAAAACGATGACATTTGATCAAATGACAGACACAAGGACACGGGGCAGCCGTGTTCGTGGTGGCAGCGGTGGCGATAGAATGTGTCCCGGAGCCTTGGTGGTCTGGTCCTCCCTGACCCTCGAGCTTTGAACAAACATGTCCAAAACACAAACCCATCGCCCGGTTCATGGAGGCAGACACCGAGAGCTTGGAGCAGTAAGCAGAGACGCACAAAGCTCTCCAGCGGTGCAAGAGAGTTCAGCGCCCCTGTAGTTAGAGCCCGAAAGGTGGGTCACCCCAGAAGATGCCGCAGACGGAGAGGATGGCAGGCCCGGAGACAGCACCCTGGGGCCCCGGGGGCCCTGACCTGGTGTCAGAGACAGGAGGGAGACACGGCCCCAGGAGGGGAACCAGCGCGGTCAGACAGCGCAGGGACACGGAGCAGTGCCGAGAAGGCATCCCTGGAATTGGTGACCGATACCCTGGAGAGGACAGAACAGGAGGAGCTGTGCAGGCGGGGCCTGAATGCAGGACAGGACAGAAGGACACCAGAGGGACAGCCAGGAGGAGGAGAAGGGAGGGAGGAGAAAGCTCAGCGAGGCTGGCCGGCCCCAAAGGAGCGGTGTCCCTTCCTCCCTGGACCCAGGGTGGACGATGGGAGGAAGGTGAGGACCGGCTCCCCCGAGCTGTCCCGGAGCCCGGGGCGCCCTCCTGCCTCCCAGCTGGGGGCTCAGATTCTTGGCGCGAGATTAAAGGGCCCCAGTCACAGGCTTCTGTAACCCGAAATTCAAGGGTCACCTCAGAGAGAACGGGAAAGGGAGAAGGAGGTGTAGCCAGGGAGGGCTGGACGTTGACTTGGGCCTGAGGGAACCCTAACAGGAA